ACACACACACACACACACACACACACACACACACACACACACACACACACACACACACACACACACACACACCCCTCTCCCTCCTGTCCCCCCCTTCCCATGCCCCCTCGCTCATACCACCCTTCTACCGTCCCCTCTCCTCCCTCACATAACCCCAGAGTCGGCCCGCCATGGACGAGCCACCGCCACTGCATGGCTCGGCGTCGTCTTCGCCAAGCACGACTGCCAGCGGAACATGGCTCGCAAGGTCCCTCTCCCGCATCTTCTTTTCCCCAAAGCCAACCCCGCAACACCCACCGCAGCATCAGCCGTCCGCGTCATCGTCTTCTCTACCAACCTCGCCAAGTTCGCCCGCCATGCCTCGCTTGTCTCGCTCGCTCACCACCTTCTCTCTTCGACGACACCGACAGCGCCACCAGCAGCGGCGCGGCCGTGAACACCGCCACGGTCGTCACAGCCATGCTGCTGTTGCTGCTGATGGTGGCGACGACGGTGATGCTCGCGTGGCCCCTCCGCCCAGGCGCTTCTCCTGGCTCACACCCTTCAGACGCCGGCGTAGCAGTGCCACCATTGCCCCCACGGGAAACACCGGACACACCGCCCGAATCACCAGCACCAGCGAGACTCGCAGCTTGCCTGTGACACAAGGGGCGCCTCCAGAGCAAGCGGCAACACCAGTGACACCTGCGCCACACCCCACATCCCACGCGCATCACCCGACGCCCCTGTCGACACAGCAGCCGCTCCTCCTCGGCATGCGGCGTGAGTTGCCACCGCTGCCGCAACAGGCACGGCCCCGGCCCGACCCGCTTGCTGGCGTGTCCTCCCAGCTGCGGCTGCCACGCCGCCTACCAGCCGTGCGTGACTCTGGTATCGCCGCTGCTGCAGACGCTGATCACTCGGTGCAGGCACACCCACCATTGCATGGCACATTACGAGCCGGTGTCGACACATCTCATGACGGCGCTGCTGGCCACAAGCCCCGCGCGTCGCTGCTCGACAAGAACGGCGCAAACAGCGCGAGCAGTGCGACACCAACCACAGCCGTGTCAGGTGACGGCCAAGCTGCCAACAAGAATCCTGTGCAGCTGATGCTTGCGGGCACCGGCCACGCGACGCCGCGTGAGAGGGGTTCTGCTGCACATGGCGAGCGTGCGCGACGGGAAGAGCACACTGGAAGCACCACCACCAGCATCACCGCAAACGAGAGAACACGGCGCGGAAGCACAAGACCGCGCTTGCTGCGGTTTGGCAGGAGAAGCAGTCGCGATGCCTTCACGCCATCTCACGATGATGACGATGGTCAGCAGCCTGCACCCGCCGTTAGCAGCTCCCTCCCCACACCCTCCCACACCAGCAACAACACCAGCACACCGGCACGCTCGTTAGTTCCACCCCGCAGCGCTCGGCGTGTTATTGATGATGATGACGATGACGATGGTGATGGTGATGGTGATGACGATGACGATGACGATGTTGTGGACGAGGAGGAGACATGGACCGCTGTTCCCCTTGAGGAATCCGACTCCCTCATCCAGGCGTGGAGGGAGACGTGTGCCACGCTCGCGTCTGATGACGGCTACTCCACAGCCAGCGTCGCGTCAAGCAACGTCAGCGCGGTGTGTGTGCGCGCTTGCGTGCGTGCGTGTGTTGCTGTGTCCGAAGGGACGTTCCTGTTGGATCGATTTCATGTTCACCCCTTGCTCTCCCTGCTCTCCTTGTTACTCTGCTCTCTTGTCCCCTTCCTCACCGCCCATCCACAACATGGCTTTGCATTTTTTTCATGCCGCCTGCGCATTGCTCACAACCACATGTACACATCCACATACATGTACGCACACGCATACACATCCCACCATCCCCCCTCCTCCCGCTCTTTCCCTCAATCCCTCTCCTCACCTTCACACCACCGCCACCACCACCAGACGCGAACCAAGCGTGGGCTTGGACCGCTGCACCTCATTGCGGTTGAGGGCAACACGACTGCACTTCGCCGCCTCCTCGCCCGCGCATCCGTGCACGTCGACATTGCCGACGCTGACGGCGTCACACCGTTCATGCTTGCCGTCCTCTCCCGACAGTTCAAGGTTGTGTTGTGTGTGTGTGTGGGGGGGGGGGAGTGCTGTACGTGTGGCGTGCTTATGTTGTGGTTGCGGTTGCGGCTGTGGTTGCGGTTGCGGCCGTGGTTGTGGTTGCGGCTGTGGTTGTGGTTGTGTTATGGTTGTGGTTGCGGTTGTGGTTGTGTTGTGGTGGTGGTTGTGTTTGTGTTGTGTTGTGTTGTGTGTGTTGTGTTGTGTTGTGTTGTGTGTGGCTATGCTGCTTGCGTGATTGCATGCTGTTGTAATTTTGGTGCGCTTGTGTATTTCTGCGCTGGTTGTCTGTGTACTTGCGTTTACATGTTCATTTCTCTCCCTCCCTCCCTCCCCCCTCCCTTCCTCCCTCCCTCTCTCTATCTATCTCTCTCTCTGCATTGCCTTGTGTCTCCGCCTGCGACCACCTCGCCTGCACGTCTGCTTTATACCCCTCCACACGCACTCCCTCGCACACTCACGAGACATCAATCCCCGTTTCCCCCGCCCTTTTTGAAACAACACTGTGCAGACTGCGCAGCTGCTGCTTGACAGCGGGGCTGCAATTGATTATCGCGACCGCCACCAGCGGACGGCCGTCCACTGGGTCATCTTCAACGGCATTCGCAAAGCACTCAAGTGGCTCTTGCAACGCGGTGCAGACTGGACCCTAGTCGGTGCGCTTTTTCTCCCCCCCCCCACACACACACAATTCCCTACTTACCATACCACCCTATCCCCCTACCCCTAATCCCCCTACCCCTAATCCCCTACCCCTAACCACCCTAACCACCCTACCCCTAACCACCCCAACCTAACCCCCACCCCTAACCACCCCAACTACCCTAACCTCCAACCACCCCAGACGATGCTCAGCGGACGGCGCTGCACTGGGCGGCGGACCAGCGCAACCACCGCTGCCTCGCCCTTCTCCTCGCCCGTCTCAACTCGGCCCAAGCGCGGACGACCGCGGCTGCTTCGGCAACAGCATCACCAACATCATCAGCAACAGCACGCGCATCCTCCTCAGCAACACACGCCTCCTCATCCTCATCCTCATCCACAGCAATGGCAGCAGCGGCAGCGTCGCCAACAAGCATGCTGAACATGGTGGATACTCAGGCGATGACACCGCTTGCCTGGGCTTGTCACCACGGCCACCTTGCCCACATCAAGCTGCTGCTCAAGCATGGGGCTGACGCCACCATCCCGAACGCACAGGGCCGCGTGTGCATGCATCATGTCGTTCAGCTGTCAAGTCCGCATTGCCTGCAGGCACTGTTTCGCGCCGGCGTGTCTGGGTTGTTTGCACGCGACGCTGATGGGCGCACCCCGCTACACCTTGCCTGCATGCACGGCTCCATCAAAACCATCAAGTGAGCGTTGTATGACTCTGTGTGTGTGATGGGTGTGTGTGATGGGTGTGTGTGATGGGTGTGTGTGTGTGTGTGTGTGTGTGTGTGTGTCCGTGTGATGAGTGTGGATGTGCGTAGTTGTGTGTGTGTGTGAGTGTGAGTGTGAGTGAGTGAGTGTGTGAGTGAGAGTGTGTGTGTGTGCGTGCGGCTTGTACGTTCCTGCACACGTGTGTCCTTCGTGTTTGTGCTTGTGTCCTATGTGTTGGTGTGTGTGTGTGTGTGTGTCCGATGTGTTGGTGTGTGTGTGTGTGTTATCATGGCACACACATCTACACTCCAACACCACGCCCATACCCCCACTCCAACACACACACACACACACACACACACACACACACACACACACACTCACACACACACACACACACACACACACACACACACACACACACACACACACACACACACACACACACACACAGACAAACACTCATTGGGCCCCCCCCCCCCCACACAAAAATAAACAAACCCGCTGCCTCTCCTCTGCAGGGTTTTGTTTTGGTAGGGGGCGGCCATCCTCAACACTGGGGCTTCGCCATCGTCAAAAGCGGAGCAGGTGAAAGGCATTGTGGATCTGCACGCGTTTTGCGAGGCAAAGGAACTTTAAGGAGGGGGGCCGGTGCATTTTGGGGCCCTCATGGGCCACACCGACGGGTGTTCGCTTTTGCTGAGAGAGGGCCACGCGCCAGACGTGTACGACACCACCGACCAACTCCCCGTGTTTTATGCGCGCGGGAAAGGGCACATGGGAGCGGTGGGACTGCTGGTGCGGCAATGGTGCGCGCCCAAAGCAACAACATCATAAGGGGCTGCTTGGCATGCATATGGAAGGCAGTGGGAGTGGTCCATGCTCATGCCACCCACCCACATGCCCGATGAGAGCAACGGGGACGACGAGGAGGGGAACGACCACAACATAGGTGATCGTGATCGTGTCCGTGGTCCGGGAGAAACCCAAAACCCCGTGTTCTAAAATTAAGAGGAGGAAAAAAGCGG